TCTCTGACTGGCAGCTCTCCAGCCACTCCTCCCCAAGCCTGTAGCACTGCTGGGGGTTGTTGTGGCCCAAGGGCAGCCCCCGGCATTTGGCCTTATGGAAACTCCTGCAGTTGGCCTCAGCCCATGGCTCCAGCCTGTCCAGGTCTCTCTGCAGAGCCTCCCTACCCTCGAGCACATCAACACTCCCACCCAACTGGGTGTCATCTGCAAACTGACTGAGGGTGCACTCAATCCCCTCGTCTAGACCATCAATAAAGATGTTAAACAGGAGTGGCCCCAAAACCGAGCCCTGGGGAACACCACTTGTGACCGGTCACCAACTGGATTTAACTCCGTTCACCACAACTCTTTGGGCCCAGCCATCCAGACATTTTTTTTACCCAGCAAAGCGTGTGCCCATCCAAGCCTCGAGCAGCCAGTTTCACCACAAGAATACTGTGGGAAATGGTGTCAAAGGCCTTACTGAAGTCAAGGTAAACAACATCCACAGCCTTTCCCTCATCCAATAAGCAGGTTGCTCTGTCGTAGAAGGAGATCAGGTTTGTCAGGCAGGACCTGCCTTTCATAAACCCATGCTGACGGGGCCTGAGCATCTGGTTGTCCCGCATGTGTTGTGTGATGGCACTCAGGATGAGCTGCTCCATCAGTTTCCTGGGCACCGAAGTCAAGCTGACAGGCCTGTAATTTCCCGGATCATCCTTACGACCCTTCTTATAGATGGGCATCACACTGGCCAATTTCCAATCTGTCGGGACCTCCCCGGTCAGCCAGGACTGCTGGTCAATGATGGAAAGTGGCTTGGCGAGCACCCCAGCCAGCTCCTTCAGCACCCTTGGGTGTATCCCATCTGGTCCCATAGACTTGTGTGTGTCTGTGTGATTCAGCAGGTCACTGACTGTCTCCTCCTGGACTGTGTGGGGGTTGTTCTCCCAGTCCTTTTCTAGCTGAGGAGGCTGGATTCCCTCAATACAACTAATGTTGTTATTAAAGACTGAGGCAAAGAAGGCATTAAGTACCTCAGCCTTTCCCTCATCAGTTGTTGCCATGTTTCCTCCTATGTCTGGCAGGGGATGGAGGCTTTCCCTGGTCTTTCTTTTTTTCCACTATAAGCTGCTGTTTTCATTTGTTTTACATTTACCAAACTTGAATGTGTTCACATTTTCCACAGTTGTAGTCTGCTCTGGGCTGGATTTTTTTTTCTCCATCTCAGGAAATAAAGATCATTTGTTTCCATGGATGGTGGAAAATTAGTTGTTAAGATTAAATACATCCATCTGTTCCTCTGAAGAGCTTTACCACCTGCTTACAGTGGAAAGAAACCTGAAATTTGGCAAGGAGAAAATCTAGGGAGGCATCTTCTGCTGTCCCCATGAAAATCTACCCACACTTAGTTCCCTACAAATTTCTGGAAAATAGCATTTTCATGTGACCCACTAGCACACATCTGACTGTTCCATAGGGATCAGACCTGCTCCTTGGCACAGAGGGAAAGGGACGGGGTGCATCACCCTAAGTACTATGCACTGTTAGTAAAGTGAGCAGCCCATCTCCTCACGTGTGACTGCCTATGTCTTTGGCTTATTCAGTGCAGCACAAGGTCCTGAAGATGACAAAGATCTTCTGAGGCTTTGTTTTAAGGTGAAGAACACATCTGACCTTTTAAATAGAAATGTCTACATAATATGTAATCACAAATAAAGAGTAAAAACGTTTCAGAATAAAAATGTCAATGTATTGTATAAGACTCTATCCCCTACAGAAATTTTCTCTTCAGAAATTTTACCATGAAGAATTTGCACCAGGATTGTTGGCATGCAGATATATCCCCACACTGGCACAGGGAGAATTAATAATGGTGGATTTACACCTGACTGACATTTTGCAGGTATCTTTTCATGTCCTGCTATACCACCTGTAGCACTAACAAGAGCAACCAGAGTATAGACATGAGAGCAACCCAGACACATCATAAAGCAAGTAAAATATATGGACAGACATCCAAATTCTTAGTAAGCCATAGTGTGTGTTAATACACAGGTAAAGGTGACAGGCACAACAAAGGCATCCCAGTGTGAAACTCTCCACTTAGTTAAATACTTGTCCATTCAAGGTGTGCAGACAGAACACTGATGAGCTATGGATGAGGTGCAAAGCAAGAAATAATCATCAGCTTGTGTTCAGATGAGCCAGGAGGGACAGTTGTATCTCAGCTGCTTCCACCATGTCCAAGTTCATCCTACAGTTACCTAGTACAGGCACTTGCTGAACAAAAGCACATGGCCACTTTTGATCTACTACTATGTGAGAAGGAAGTCCACACTTAAAACACTGCAAAATACACACCGAAGTTTCCATCTCCCCACTAACTTTCATGGCTTTCATCTACATGTGAAAGAACCAGACAGAAAATATCAAGGATAACCTTCACAGGGAATCAGTAAAAAGCAGCTGTAAAAAGGAAGGG